AATCTTACACCTCTTCAGAAACTGGGAGCCCCTCATTCTTCTCCAAGACAATTATGGATTTCCCCCAGTTTTTTTTCCCAGCTAGTATATAGCACCTTTCCTGGGCATGTCTACACTGAGGTTCAAAGTACTTAAGTTGTTTTTCATCTTTTATACTTTTACAAAATATAGAAGGTTTGGTGATGTACTTTATCAGTAATTTGAATTAAACTCAAATGTTTAAATAACTGGCAAGGATCATTAATATATTTGTCCTTCTTGAAGTGTTGAATTGGGGAGTACAGATTATCTCTGCCTTTTTATATCAGAAAGTCAGGTTTCTGAAAGCATGTATTGCAAACTCATCCTCCTAATTACGTGCATTATTGTTTATACCTCCTGCCTAGTGGCTAACAAAAATGTGTGTGAGATCTATCAGTCCATTCAGCCTCACATCTCTGCTAGCTACCTGGTTTCGGCAAAATTTTCTAAAAGAATTAACATTTTCAAGCTAAACTGCATGGGGAAAAAAACATCAATGGAAAGTGGAAGGTGTTATTGAGGCCTGAGTATTTTGAGAAAGCTAAAGCTTTAACTAGCTATATCAAGCTGTGTCAAACTTGCATTATCACGGCACCATCATGTGACATATCACAAGGCATGGGCATGGCCAGTGCGTGATGCACTTGGCCCACGGGCTGCAAGGTCTATCCTACACTGGGCTCTCTTAGCATTGCAGCTCAGTCTATTATCACTGGGCTATACTATGTATGTACATTAGAAGAGATGCCACTATGTGGAAAGAGCAGAGTAAAAAGGGCATGCCACTCTTTGCCATTACAATTATTTTCTGTTAGAGTCCTGCCCCTGCCAGGAAGAACTGCCTAGGTAGAATCCTAATCTTTTGGAGGAGGGGCAGGGAAAGGGGTGAGTTGAGAATGAAAAAAGAAACAAAGAGGTTGAAAATTTAGCATTTTCAAAACATAAATGGTGACAGGAACAAAAGTCCCCAATGAAGTGTGTGTGTGTGGGTGGGTGTGGGTGTGTGCGCGCGTTAAAGTACATTTTATAAGTCAATAATTTGCACAGCTCTAGTTAACATAGGACATCTCCAAAAAAAAAACCCATTTCTTACATAGTGTGATCAAGTTGTAAAACATGAAAGCCAAATACAACTTTCTGTTCACCTCAAGTTTACATCTATTGTATAGGATGTATGTCCATACATCCATGGCTGTATGTTATTTTTCCAAGCTCACTCAATTTTCTTTGAGTTGGCTTTCTTTTAACACTCTCCTGATATTTATTCATTTGAGTTTGGTTTCTTCTTTTTCCAAAACAAAGGGAGAAAAACTTCACTCTTTGAAAACTGAGAGTTTGAAAACATTCTGATTTAGATTAGCCATAATAAAAACAATTGTTGCTGAAATGTATATAGAGTATAGATAGTGGTCAAGAATATTGATTTGTATAATTGATGAAGGGCTAGCTGTAGAAAGGCTCTAAAACTAGAAGTAAAACAATGAAAACATTTGCTCAGCAGTAATTCATTCCTGAAGTTAATACTGAAGAAATGTAGAATTCTTGGGAAGTGCTATACTGAAATGATGAAAGTATCTTCAGGTAAAATGAAAGAAAAATAAGGTGTGAGAAGTAAAGAATATGAAATGGGAATTGATGGTTACTATTAAATTAAGAAGATTCCCCAAATCTGCTCCAGCAATAGAAATTTTCCTATGCATAAATCAAAATAGAAAAGCTGTCAGCAATATTTGAAGAAGTAATCCTTCTAAATAAAGCTATGCCCTCAGTCATGATTTAAAGTGTCTTCATAGCATCACCAACCATCATAGATATAACTTATCTCATTATTATTTTGGCACAATAGTGGCCAAATAACTCTAAAAGAGCCTATAAGATGCCACTGGATAAATTATTTAAAACTTCATTTGCTATCATATCAGCACAATTATTTTTTTATGTTTTTCACTCCTGTCATCATAATAATCAAGACTAATTCATTTGGGTGAATCATAATAATCAAGAGGAATTCATTTGGGTGAATGCCTAGCTGAAAAAAACATTTTTATGACTGACTTAATTCTATGCTTGTGATTTTAATCATCATTAGGCAAAGGAAAGAAACGAAAGAAAATCAGTTCTTAGAATTCTGTGAGTATAAAGGCTGGCCAATTAAAAAAAAAAACAAATTTGGGTCATTACAGCTGTGAACAGACATTTCCTATTTAAAAGTGATCCTGTTATTTCACAAATCAACCTGAGACTTTCCAAAGAGCAAAAGAGAAAATATTCCAGGAAGACTAGGAAGTATGCTGAAAATTTAAAAACCATTTTCTAGGTTTGGGGCAGTTGCAATTTTATGTTGTGAAAATGCTTCAATTATAATAGAAATCAAAATATAATTTCTGACTCAAGGAAATAAAGAGGATTAGGAAAAAAATATTTTGTTACCATTATTGACAGCATCATCCTTAATATTTCCATTACTTTGTTCGCTATGCGATAAACATACTACTTTTGTCTTAAGAGACAGCTGGCCAGTTAAGCATAATTTTTTTTCTTCTAAACAGTTCTAACATTATTTTGCAGCAATACAATTTCCTGCACTGTAAATTTACAATATTCAAAACAAGATTCTTGTCTTGTTCATCACTTTGGGTTCACAGGGCTGGACTTTCTTCCATGACAAGCAGAAACAAGAGACTCCAACATGGAAGCAACGGGACAACATGAAAAAGGAAAACTCAGCTATCCGATATACTTACTTGCTTACTTGTAGATTTCAAACACGTGCCTTGTGGAACTGAGAGCACTGATACTGAGTCTGCCTCTTAACCAGGGGTTTGATTAAGGAACATTGTTTACCAGACTAGCATTGGTGCTTATGACTTACCTTCTTTTCTACGTGTGAAGTAAGATAAACAATAGGCATGGCACTTAGCTTCCTGGCTAACAAAGTTGGACAAGAAATGGCTCTAAAAACAGTCCTTCCTTTATTTTGCTTTCTTATGAAATTTCCTTGCTGTCCATGTATAGCTCAACTGTTCTTATGGGTAACAGCAATTTTCCCTTTAATTGTACAATTCTTTTTTTAAAAAAAAACCCATAGATGTTGCCTTGGTGGCTCAGAATCAAGTTCCATCTCCCAATTCAGTTTTCTCTGGTTGCTTCTTTGATGCCTGCTCCAATAATCTGCAGCTAATTTACTCAATTGTCAGACTTCTGGTGCCACTTCTGTATCTTTGACATAACCCAACAGATTTCGTTAAATTTGCAAGACAAATCTGAAAAGACCTGCCTCTGATTTGTCTTCTGGCTCTCACCTATTCTCTGGTGTGGTTTTTGTATAAATATAAGCAAACAAAGGGTGCATTGAGCTCCTAGCTAATCTTTCTTACATGGATTTTTATAAATGTCTGGGGAGATTTTCGGTCACCCAAGTCACAGTTGTTTTTTCTTTTTTCTTCAAAAGGCAATTGGACTGTTTCTTTTCCTTGAGGAAGAAGAAAATATTTTGCTTCTCATCCAAGAAGCTTCATCATTGGATGAGAAGCAAATTTTCTTCTTCTTCCTCAAAAAAACACCAAACAGTTCAGTTGCTTTTGAAGAAAAAAAAAGCAGCTTTGATACAGTTTTTTTATTTTATTTTTCTTTTCTTTTTTGGACATGTGGGCAATTACCATCAATAATTTGCTCTGATGGTAGAGAAATAATTACCTTGAAAATGTCTGTTTGCTTATTATTACTGGTGTTTTTTATCCCTCCCTCCCAACTCTTGAGCTATATAAATGATTTTTATGACACTACAGTAATAGCAGTAGTAGACTTATATACCGCTTCATAGGNAAAACAAGTTTACATCATATTCTTATGCATGCCAGTGCTGTGTGTGAGGTAATTTAAGGTAGTTCTGACAAGTGTCATTGGCATCTTCATATCTGGTCACATGGGCGGCAAGCCACTCCCATCCAGTCACATGGGCGGCAAGCCACTCTCACAAAGGAGGCCACACCCACAGAGTAGGTTCGAACAATTTTTGAAACCCACCACTGACAATAATGCACTGTTCAAAACATCCCTGCTTTTTTCATATAGATTGAACATGTCAACCTTGTAGAGAGCAGTGTTTCTCAACCTCAGCAACTTTAAAATGTGTGGGCTTCCACTCCCAGAATTCCCCAGGCAACGTGCTGGCGGATTATAATGGTTTATAGTAAATGGAACACTACCGAAGCCCATTGTGCCTGACGAACTGCTTTAGATAAAAGATCAGCTTCTTTTTTACAGAGTCTCCTTGTTTTATAAACTAAGAACAGTGTTTTAGCAACCAATGCCAAGGCATTGCATGTATCCCACTTTCAACTGTCTTCACATTTTTCTACTTAGTGCACAGCAAATGATATTAACTTGATGACATGATGTTAGAAATCCCATCAGCACTTCTATGATATCATAAACAGTATCATATTTCTATCTTAAAAGCTTCATTTAAGATGATTCATGGAACAAATTCTGGAATGTATCATGGAATGCATCTTGGATCAAATTCTGGAAAATAATAAACTTAGCAATGGTGACCCTCTGAGAAAGCAAATCTTCCGAACTCCTTCTTCCAAAGAATTGCTATGCAAAAATGTATCAATTCATGAATCAACTCAAAACGATAATCATTTTCCAATTAATTGTACCCACATGGGCATTTAATTTAGCAGATTATCAAGCTGAAATATTATAATGGGAGTTTCAACTATTAAATTTTGCAATTAAAATGGCTATAAAATAAATTCAGTAGAGTACACAAAAGAGCAATCCCAAAACTACTTGGTGAAGATTACAAACTCCATTGTCACACTCTAATATTAAGCATTTAGGATTAAACACAGAGGCCAATTCATAGTAATTGGGTTTGCTTCCCCCCCCCCCTTCTAGAATTTTAGATCATCTTTCACAGGCAGTAGCAAAGAGATAGAGGGATGAACAGGCAGTGAAAGAACTGATGATCAGTGGATCATCAGAGAAAGAAAAGGTTCATTCCAGGGTAAGTTTCTGTTACCTTCTTCTTCATATTCCTCTGCATTGAGAGAAAAAAACAAAAAAAGGAAACAAGAAAAGCAGCATGATCAAAACATGGTTTAGCACTGCAACACAGAGACTGATATGGAAGATAAACGTTTGCTGAGGATACAACCAACCTTTCTCGCTAAAGGACAGAAGACAAAAAGCTAGCACTTCTTATAATAATAAAATAAATCAACTTCATGGGGCAATGAAATGCAAGCAACAAATAATAATGATGCATTTGGTCCATGTAAGAATGAGAGATTTGAATAAGAGTTTGCAGAAGAGACTTTAGATTCAGATCTAAGATTGCAAGATGTAAGAATCCCACTAAAAGGACAGCTTATATTTCTGCAAAATAAAATATATATCAATTGAAAGAAGAAATTCATGGGCTGACTGGGACATCTGCAGGATGGGTCAAAATAGTGGCTGCTACCACACAGTTCAAGCCCCATCTTGGGGGATATCCTCATTGCCTGCTCAACATTACTCTGATACAAGGTATTTAGTTTTAACTACATCCATTAGATTAAGCTTTGCCTATAAAATCATAAAACATGCAAAATTTGAAAATACTTTTGTTGTCAATCTGAAAATAAATTGATAATGCTTATATCTGAACCAAATTGAAGCTTTAGTGACTAGGGCCATGATGGCGAACCTATGGCATGCGTGCCATAGGTGGCACGCAGAGCCATATCGGTAGCATGCATGCTCAGCTCTGGCATGCATGTGTGCCCAGCTCTGGCATGCATGCATGCTCAGCTCTGGCATGCATGCGTGCACCGGCCAGCTGATTTTCAGATCTTCTTGGCCCACCAGAAGTCGGCAAATGGGCCTTTTTCCGCCTCCAGAGGGTCTCCGGGGGGTTGGGAAGGCCTTTTTCGCTCTCCCCAGGCTCCTAAAATGGGTCTGGAGCCTGGGGAGACCAAAAAATGGGTCCACCGTGCCATCACATGGTAAAAGCGAGGGGAGCATGGGGGGGCATGTGCACATGTGTGGGGGGCGGGAGAATAGATGGCAACAAGGCGATGGTAAAAAGGTTAGCCATCACTGGACTAGGGGAATGACTGAATGACTGTTTTATTATTGTATGCTGCCCAGAATCACCTTTTTCGATGGGCTGCCATATAGATTTGATTAATAAATAAAATAAATAAAATGATAAAGCAGTTTCCTTCATAAAATATTTTTTCCTTAATTAACATGTGCTCATGTGTTAAAATCGGTGGAATTTTTTCTGTGGCTAGGATCACTGAAAATATTCTTGTGACCTGCTGTTTTAGCAATCTTGAATTCTTACGAATAAATATTGCTGCTGTTATGGTTGTCATATTAACTTCATCTCAGATTTCTTTAGAGAGATTCTGGTGAGTGACCTCTCTGACCAAAGCAGAGAAAAAGGCATATGTATGAGATAGCCATCTTATACAATGCCACCAAAGACATTCTTGAGAACTTACACCAATTCTTGACTAGAACCCAGCTGAGGGACAATAAGGCAATACATGAGCACAATTCATTTATCAGGAAAAACTCTTTATGACAAAGTCATGGAAGTAATTTGATTTTAAAATGTGCTGAAGTGGTACTGAATTTGCCTTTTCCCACCCATATTTTTTCTACAGAATTATTTCTGGTCATGAAAACTCAATGGGAGCAAAAATGATTAGGAAATACAATTATAGTAAAAATATAGTATATGTTCCCTTTGTTCACACAAGTTATGCTTTAAATTGCAAGTTAACTTTAATATACCATGCAAATTCGTTGATGACAAATCAAGTCAGGAAAAATTCATCCAGTTAAGATATATTATATATATTCAAGTTGATTTCTTTTTAAGGACCACTTAAATAAACCAACTTTCCACTGAGTGCAATCAAAGACTAGTTCTCTAACTGAAATTGTAATCACATTAAGCAGAAAATAACCCATCTAGTTCTATTCTAAATCCTTGGGAATTTATTTTATTTGTTTAGATCTATAGTCTGCTCAAATCCTGATAACTCTGGGAAGCTTACTTTATAAAATACAAGTAAGTAAAAACAGAAATAAATATTCTGAGCATTAGAAGGAATATACACAAAGACCCTCCTGCCCACCCACCCCCAAAAAACTCTTTTAAAAAACTATAGGGGCTCAGCACCAGTCAGATAAATCTGCCTAGAATGACACTTTTAGAAATATGGTATTCCATTACGGCTTTTTTTAATCCTCTGCCCTTATGTACTATGCTGTGCTGGCTAGAGATTATGGGAACAGGAGTTCAGTATCTCTGGAGACCTGCAGAATGGGGAAATTCTCTGTTACATGAGTTGTCAAAGATGTTTGTTTCAGATCCTGCCTCAATACAAATTTCATTCTATATGTATCCTTGGATGTGTTCAAGCAAAAGAGTTTTGAGATTTCAATATGCCATAAATAGTATCAATGTGAGCAAAAAAACCTTAAAAATGAATGTTATCTATTTCTGATCCAAAGAGAATAACAGAGCTAATAAAGTCCAAAGTTAATGACATCCAAAGCTAATAAAAGTCCTTTTACTTTTGCTTGCAATACAACAAAGTCTATTTCCAAGACACAAACATAAAAACGTGTAATGGAAATGATTAATGTATTTAGTTCATCAATCTTGCTCAAGGAAGACAGATACAAAACGAAGTGGTATCTAATAATCGTGCCTAATCTGCTATGCCACAAACACATTTTAAAAGGCTCCCCCACTCTATAATGGGTCACCAACAGATGGCAGCAACAGCTCTATAAAAACAAAGTGGGAAGGTAAAAATAACAAGGGCAGAGCAAAAATGGAATAGGGTAAGATGTCAATTGTCTGGAAACCCAATCAGATATTGATTTTTGTGGTAAATTCAATACGAGCCAGATGTTTGTGCTGCTATAAAACTACAGGCTAGCCACAATTATATGTTGTATCTGCTGAACACAGAATCAGAAATATGTCTCAAAAAAATACATACAAGCACATATACACTTCTGGCTTCAAAATTAAGGGATCTTGCAGCCCAATACATTTGAAAATTCTTTTTAGAGCTTGCAAATACATGATGCCTTTGAAGGCGGGGAGTGAGGTAGAGCTGAATTTCCATTTTTCCCCCCTAAGCATGGAAAGGAATATTTACTTTTAGATGCCATTGGATCTGAGCTAGGCAACCTGATGGGGTTTATCTTAGACAACAACTAGTAAGAGCTATTGTGGAACAAAAGAGAGATGAGGAACAGGCTGTGACTGTTTCCTGAATATCCCTTTTTGTATTGAACAGTTCATATTTCTCAGTGATCTCAAACTCAGCGGGACAACAGGTGGAATAAGGGAGCATGTGAGATCTATTTAATTTTAAAAATGATCTCCATGGTATAGATCATGGTGACTCAATTAAAAACTAAAGTACGTCTAACTGGTCAAACTCTCTTAGCTTCAAAAACCACTATGAGTCACAAAATTAAGTTGGAACAACGAGCTATTTTACAGCATATGCATATAAATAATTACTCACCCTCTACTTGTTCCCTGTAAGAAAGCAAACAGAAAGAAAAAGAAAAGAAATCAGATTAAATTTGCCTGTTTAGATCAGTAGGACAAACTACCATGAAACCTAATCATGGGAAACTACAGGGTTTTTTTTACATTTTTGTTATTACTTGCTTTTTATATACTTAATATGGTCATTCCCCAAATGTTAACCCTTCAGATGTGTATATCTGTAAACTTGTACATAGTGGCTGGGAAGATTCAATGTTGTATTCCCAACACATTTGAAATATCCTAAATTGGAAAAGCCCATCCATATTTCCAACTGAAATATTCAACTTAGTTTTCAGAAATTGTCATCTTGAGAAAGTTTGTTCTCATGCTTGAATCATTATTCTGAGTTCGTTTTGTTAAGATGTTCCAGGTTTCCCTCCAAAATCCAATTTTGTGAGCCAGTTCCACCTTCACTTTCATTATCCCTTTGCCAAAAACTAATGTGTGGGCCTCTTAGATAACATCACTTCAGCTACCAAGGTTAGACCTTATAAATATTGTTTTCTTCTCTCATTGTAGGTCAATCTAAGCTCTTGAGCCACATCAATAGTGTTTTCATAGTATTATCTTTGTTCCTTGTTCTTGTTATTTATAAGATGGGAACTTACCTCCAAATCAAAACTACATACAATAATGATACTAAATTATATGACATCGAAACAGAACNCTTTAAGAAGATGTTGGATAGCCATTTGTCTGAAACGGTGTAGGGTTTCCTGCCTAGGCAGAGGGTTGGACTAGAATATTTCCAAGGTCCCTTCCAACTTTGCTATTGTATCATCCTTGCATGCCCAAATGTGTGCATGCGTGCTAAAGTTGAGAAACGCTGATTTGGATGACCGGCCACAATCTTTCCCAGCTGCTGCCCTCCACTATCTTTGGCTATGCTTCCTGGATTATAGGAGCTGAAACCCAACACATCAGGCTGAGAAAGGCTGATCTACAGAATACAACATTAAATCTCTATTCAGCTACTTCTGAATTAATGCAGTAAAGGTTGACGAGAAAAAAAGAAAGGAAGAAATGTGGCTATTTCTTGTTTTGTAAGCCAGGAATTGAATGCCAGCCTGTCGTTTATCTATGCAAATTTAGAGTTTACAGACTCCCAACATGCAGGAGGCTCATGCATGTAAAAATCTTTTGCTGCTTATATCACCTGGGTGAACTCATTGTACTTACAACTTGGACAGTGCCTCCACCCTGCAACGTAGTGATACAATCTAAGAAAGATTAAGATCATTATTGGCTTTGGGTTCTTAACAAATTGAGGGTTTTTTTTTGCAATAGGTACTCAGTAACAGACAAGCATTCACCTTTTAACACTGTCAGAACTCTCTCTTTGTTTTGTGAGTGTATTACAAAGGATTATCTCAACATAAAAGCAGGCAACTGGTGTAAGAGGGTTGCCTTATGCTTCCCTATTTCTAAAATCAAATTCCAAGTACGGCAGAGAAATAACATTACTGCAATCCACCAGTTCTCCGTTTATTCCTAAACTCATTTTTTGTGTGTGTCCCTCCAGGTACTGTAGAGTGTAAAGCATATAGTATGAGCAATTAAATATGGCAAATTATTTGGCTCTATCTACAATAACAGAATTAAAACATAGGTAGAGTGATTATAACCATGCTCACAGTTTGTAGACAAACTTGAAGTATTTTCTTCCACACAATATGAAGAAGATATAATCTATACTCTTTTTTTAAAAAAAATGGTGATTATCTTGTAGCATTCTCCAGACAACAGAAGAGAATGGTGCTGGCTTTTCTGCCTGCATAAATTCACATGAAGATAAGGCTGGAGAATTAATAGAGGCTGAGGACATCAGAAATGGGTTCATTATTAGTCTCATAGGTATTTCAGTGCAGTGCTGACACTGCCTAGGCCCTAGGAGTTACACAGATTGTTGGCTCCCCTGCTTGGCTTGGCTGTGATGGGGTTTAACATCATGAATAAGCCATCTGGTTTTGGAAGATGCTTCACAAAGAAAGATGGGCATATTAATTAAAATGACAATGTTATTTCATAATATTTTCAGGCATAGAACATATTTTAAGTAGAAGGCAGAAATCCACCCTAAGTGTACAATTGCGAAGTCATCACTCTGGAATGAAAAAGTGAATTTTGTTGATAAACATTCAAAATAGTTTATGGGCTTTAATGGTCTTCTATGGTTTTCAGCATAGGTCTCCCTTAGAATATAACTGATTTCACCCTGAAAATAAAAAATAAAAACCAAAGCCAATATCTCTTTTTCTACTCACATCATATCTTTGCCTCTTGATCTTCTCTAAATATTCATATTTTTCCGTCTCCAGCGCATACAGCGAGTCCCACAATTCTTTGGCTTTCTCCCTATTTATTTGTGAAAAAGTAGAGATATAACAAGGAATGATAGACAACTCAAACAATTAGCAACTGAAAAGAGACATATTGACATAAGTTCAATGTTTCTTAAATTAATGGTTAAACTGGTTGGGAGACTATTCAAATAAAGTCCAATACAACTGAACAATTCTAGTTTGTGTATTTCATCAATCCCCCATGTAACTTTTCCTTGTGAGGAATTATTTGAACACCTAAATATCAATAGAGAGCCTGACCACTTCATTACTTACCCTATCTCTGGATACTTAATGGAAAAAAACCAGAAGTATCTTGGACCCAATACAGACACTTGGAGGAATCTTATTGTTTACTTTGAAATACTTCTTTATTTGTTCTTATTCCCTGCTTTCATAACTGCTAATCTTATTCAGAATTATTTCATATGCCTTTGTGAGATCTATCTATCTATCTATCTATCTATCTATCTATCTATCTATCTATCTATCTATCTATCTATCTATCTATCTATGCTTAACATTTTATCAATACATTTTTTCATATTTTTTTATTTTTTAAACTAATTTACTAATGTTGCAACTGGAGGCAGAAGTTATAATTTAATTTATTCTTTTTCTTACTATATGTATTATTTTTACATTACCCATTGAAGTTTAATATATATTAATGTTAAATCAAATTTGATAAAATTTATCAGGATTAAATAATTATCTGAATAATAACAAATGTTGTTTTCTTAAATATCACCTCCTATTTTTAATACCACAAAAAATACTAAAATAAATGTCAGCACAAGCTCAGTGTTGTATGTAGCATAGTACAAGAGGTAGTGAGGGAGATGGGGATAATTTTTTTTACCTCAGTTTGTCTTCACTAAGGTGATCAATATTCAGAGGTTTGCGTCTCTCTGCCAAAATTTTCTTCTTCAGTTCCCTTGCAGTTTGTTTCTTTCCTCTCTTTTGATCAGCCTGTGCAGAACGAGTTTAAAGATTATTAAAAAGCCTGTTTGATCTAGTGGCTGAGGCACCAGGCTAGAAAGCAACAGTCTTAGTCATGAAAATCAGCTAGGTGTCCTGGGGCCAGTCACTCTCTCAGATCCCAGTTCACCTCAAAGGGTTGTTGTTGTGGGGAAAATAGGAGGAGGAAGGTGTGTTGGATATATTTATGGAATATAAATAAACAAATAATCACCAGATGCATCCCATAGAAGAAATTAATGAAGAACATGAAAACCTGCCGGGAGAACAGTAATCCTCAATTGTGAAAGTGCTTGATCACAATTCATATCATCTTTCATCATTGCACTAAACATAGTGCCTGGATTGTAATCTGGTATATTCAGATGCCATCAGGTTACTACTAAAATAATTGTTTCTGAGAATTTGCCAGCAAGCCTATTTTACATTTCTTTCTGATTCATTGCAGGAAATGCTCTAGAAGCCATAAGATTTATCCCTCAGGGCTGAAGAACCATTAGATCAAAGCTAAAGGGAAGTTGTGAGACTCTATCCCTCTAGCGGAGAGGGAGAGGAAGAGGGGGAAGGAGAGTGAGAGAGAGAGAGTGAGTGAGAGAGAGAGAGAGAGGGAGAGAGAGAGAAGGGGGGTGTAAAATAGACACTAGCAGTTCCTTCCTGTGGGGAATTTCTCTCTTCTTGAAAAAGTTTTTGCCACTTTAAAATTAAAGAATTCCAAGAAATCCTTGGATAATTTTCAGATGAGTGATGCTCATTCTTAATCACATTCTGGCTTTCTCTGCCCATCCGTAGATTTTACCTTCGCCAAATAGCTGCTGTATGTGGCACCCATAGAGGAGAGGGCTTTCTTCTTCTTCAAATCATCTTCAGCCCTCCTCTTGGCATCGTCTTCCTCTCTCTTTGCCTTTTCCTCCTGTGAAACAGATAGTAGGAACAAACACTGGTTCATACCTGGGACTCACAAAGGCAGAACAGAGAATTTGGGTCTGGGACATACTTTTTGGGGAAGGGGGTGGGATAAAACCAAAAGTAATTGTCATAACTCTTAATAGATCACTTTACATTGAGGAGAACGATTAAGATACCAATGACGAAAGCTTGTAGATAAACTCACAGCAAGTCTGGCCTGACGCTCCTTTTCTTTCTCAGCTCGGATTCTTTGCTGCTCAGCCCTCTCAGCTCTACGTTTTTCCTATGCATTGCAGAGAAAGGGGAGCAATTTGGTTAGAACTGTATTCGGTTCCGGAACGAAACACTTTGAAAAATGTTCCTGAGAAGAAACAGTTGAAATTAAATAGTGAACAGTATTAAGATGAGACTCTAGAAAGAGTGCAGAGAAGAGCAACAAAGATGATTAGGGGCTGGAGACTAAAACTTACGAAGAACGGTTGCAGGAACTGGGTATGTCTAGTTTAATGAAAAGAAGGACTAGGGGAGACATGATAGAAGTGTTCCAATATCTCAGGGGTTGCCACAAAGAAGAGGGAGTCAAGCCCACACACACCATGAGCAACCCGGCCAAGGAGAGTGAGCACAGCAGCAACAGCCTCAAAGAGGTAAACACAGCTGGGCACCGCCTCAGGGAAGCGGGGCTGGGCTGGGTTGTGGGAGCTTGAAGGCAGAACTGAGCATTTGCCCACTGCTGCCTAGGGCTCTGGACATCCTGCGCCCCCATCCGGGGATCCTCTATGTGGTCTGAGATGAGACGGCAAAGCTTGTCTGAAGGACAAGGGTATGGCTCCCTAGTCTCTCCTTCCTCTGCTGGAGACAATGGATCTCCCGAGCCCCACCCGAGCCCCACAGGTACCCCTGAAGTGAGTGAAGTTGAGCTGACCATGCCCACCCCAGCCACATCCCCCCTAAGGTCAAACACAACCCTGATGCGGCCCTCAATGAAATCAAGTCTGCACCAAAAGGATTACTTTTCTTAGGTCCTAAATGACAACTAACACCATTTGTGTAAGAATTATATATTATATTTTCAAGCTGTATGAATGGGCATATAGACACTTAGAAGAAAATATGACTACTCATAAAAATTCTTACATGCAACTTATGTTCACCAAAAAATATAATTGGCTCCCTTAACATTTAATTTAATTCATGCTCTATGCTCAGGCTGAAGACCTTACAATAGTTGACTACTTGAGGAAAACTTACAATTCTCTCTTTAAGAGCCATTATATCTTCTTCTTCTTTTTTCCGGTTTTCAAAGTGATTATCAATTAAGGCTTGAAGCTCAACCAAGTCTTTGTTCTGCCTCTTCTTCTGAATATCCTGGGGAAAGAAAGGAGAGGAACCAAGGTTCAATGACACCATGCATAATCATTGGGATGGCATAGATTCCCCCCCACAGAAAAAGTTTACATAACCCCATTGACTGAAACTTCAATCAGTTACATCAGTTCTCTCTTCTCATAGTTACGGAACTTATCCAGAAATGATTTTTATACTGTGATGAAAACCACTTTCTTGTCCAAAATTTAGACTAGCAAGACAAGCGATTCACTGGAAGAACAAGCAATACTCACATCAAAGTCTACTTTTTCGCCCTCTGGGATCTTAGGTGCAGTCAACCTTTGTTGATATTAAGAGAAAGAAGAAAAACACATAAGAAAAAAAATATTTCAGAAGTAAAGGGAAGAGACATGTTTTGAAAGATTTGCTTGCATCACAATTTAACAAATAAATCTGCCCAAATATTATTTGAGAAAATAGTGCAGGATTTGGAAAGTTTAATTCAAAACCGTTAATGGCTTTGATGCACTGTCTAGCAACAACCACATTTTTCCTCCAGTACAAAACATTAATTTTACAAATTATCCATTCCAATTCTATTAGATAGAAAAGCGTCAGAAATAGCTTGACAAGTTCTAAAAGTGTAAATGTAATGATGGTTAAATTGGATTTTTTTGGTCTGTTGAAAGCATTCATTGTCAAGAAATGAATCTGGACGAAGATGTTGTATATCTCTCATTTAATTAATATGTAGTGGAAAAAGTGAATGAACCTCTGTACTTTTTGTGTGACATCCTACTTTACCGAATAACTTGTTGTTTTTCTCATATCGCTCTTCAAAACATTAGAGAAAAAATTATGCAATCAGTCTCCAAATTAGTCTTCCCCAATCTGGTGCCTTCTAGATTATGGAGATTGCAATTCCATAATCTCCAATCAAACAGAATTAACAGCTGGGTTTTCTGGAATTTATAGTCACAAAACATCTGCAACTCTGAGGTTAAGGACAACGGTCACAACATATCCATGTGTTTGACCTTGGAGGGGGGGCACGGCTGGGGGGGGCATGGCCAGCTCAATGTCACCCATGTCAGGGGCACCTGTGGTGGCTCAGGCAGGGCTGGGGAGATCCATAGTCTCGGGCAGAGAAAGGCAAGTCTAGGGAGTACTCTAATCCTAACCCTGCCTTAAAAGGATGCAGATTACCAGCTGTCTGCAAGAAATATAAATCCTTCCATTCCCCACTATCCTGTCAGAGCTGAAGAAGCTTCTTGAATGAGAAGCAAAATATCTTCACAAGAAAAAACAAGTAAGTCCAGTTTCCTCCTCAAAAAAAGCACCTTTGGGACATCCATGACCTGGATGACTGAGAATCTCACAGAATATTAGTTCTATGTGTATTATTGGATGGACCATATGTACATCTAATTGTAAAAACTTTTTTTATTCAAAAAAGATCTTTACATTTCATCTTAAAATGAAGTATAAAAATGTGGAAATTAAAGATAAATATAACTAACTAAATGTGAAAGACACCAAATAGCTAACTGGCTATCCTTATTTCCAATACACGAACCATAAACATTTAAAACCAAAGTCAAGAATGGCTATAATATTTCTCCATTAAACATGTCCTAAACTTACTGTGGTACTGGTGCTCTGGGTTTCTTCTCTAAATATAGCAAAGCAGGAAGTAAGCAGGGAACAAAAGATGAAAACAAGAAACAAGAACAGAATAAATTCTATTTTGTTTGCTAAAACCAAAACATAGGTTTATGAAATTAAATATATGAATTACACTTTTGACATATCATAAAGACATATTCTTTGACAAACTAATTTTACTTAGGAGGAAAAAACTTTCATACAATTCTGACATATTCATGCTTTTTTTTTCTTTTTAACCAAACTCCCATATCCTATCGTTGTTTTTTTTAATCTTGTTACATCTTACATTTCTACTACATTCATATAGAGTTCTTGGTGTTTTCTGAGCTTAGTTGTTACTTGGAAACATTTCATTGTCCATCTAGCTAAGAGCTGAGGTGGCACAGTGGTTACAGGCTACTTCAGCTGACTGCTAGCTGCAGTTCGGCAGTTCAAATCTCACACCAGCTCAAGGTTGATTCATCCTTCCATCCTTCCGAGGTTGGTAAAATGAGGACCCAGATAGTTGGGGGGAATAGGTTGACTGTCATAGTGTAAAAGCACTATGAAGCAGTATATAAGTCTAAGTGATGTTTAGATAATTATATTCTCTAGTTGGGTAAAATATCTCCAAACAACAACTAAGCTCTGAGAACAATGAGAACTCCACGGTTTAACTCTGAACTACATATATTCCCTTCTATTGGTACTAAATTTATGCTAAATTATATATTGTATAATGCTCTTGCTTAAGTAGCTGTTTGACTTTTAAGAAGTTTTCCATGAACATTTGTTTTTTTAAAAAGCGTTTGGTTTATTTGCTTCAGGAATAGAACAACTATTTATATACTTCCAGAATATAAAATAACACTAAAACAAAGAAGAGAAAAAGTTAATTCTAATTCAATTTAGGTTCGGATATTTATTTTTGAAGAAGCTGGATAAAACATACAAATAAAGATTCCTTTCCTCTGATGTCCTTTTTTATTTTTTAATCTCAGTCACTTTCTTATATATAAATAGCAATA